TTTTTTTTTTTTTTTTGGGGGTGGTGGTGGTGGGGGGGGTGGCATTTCATGACATTTCCATTAGGTTTTGTTTTTATTCTATATTTTCCCAGCATATTCTCAAGGAAATAAGTAGGTAGAAGAAGGATGATGTATAATATTTCCTTCTTATCAATGAGTTGATAATTGCATTATTTTTCTTCCGTTCTCCTGTTTCCTCTTGTTCTCTTGATAGTCTTCTAGGCCATTGATTTTTTATTTATTTCTTCGTCCAGGCTGGCCTTGCTCTCGGAGACCTCAGATCTGTCAAGGATCTGTATGATTTCAAAACTTTGGCTGTGCTTTTCCTCATTGGATCTGTCTCCATAGTTCCTACCCTCCTGAAGAGAAAGAGAATATATGAATGAAGGTTAATATTCATAAGGTGCCTTTCTCCCCCTCCTGGCAAAGGTGGCTTACAATTGATATCTTTTCAATTGGTAAATCGCAGATTCTAAGGAATAGAGCTACAAATCACGGTGGTGATCCTTTTCTCTGCCGTAGAATAGCTCTAGTATTCAGGCTTGCATGATACACGGAACTCGTCGTAGTCACCGCTGATAAAAGACCAAAAAAGAATTCTTTTTTCTACTAGATGTATGTTAGTTCCACTATCTCCCCATATGAAATTATGTACATACCATTGGGGGCAAGAAATTCACTAGAAAGATGTCGTAGCTCTGTTGACTTGCTAATGGTGTTTGAAGGCAGCATGATCGGATAAACTAGCTGTCATACATGTAAAGATTGTTTATGTACTTCTTAACATTAATAATAGGTTTTGTTCGTTCGTCGTGGGAGGAATTCATCCCCTTCTAATTGTAGCTGATTCATAAATTTACCTATAGATATGTGAATTTGCATGAGAAAGATGTGTGAAGCCGACTCTTGGTTTAGCAGCAAGCAGCCCTACTTAGGGCCTCACCTCACCCCATATGTTGAGCTCTTGGGGGAAATCTTTCTAATGAGTTTTCAGATGTTTTGTACGAAGAAAATTTTTTGAGTCCTGCTTAAGCCTATTAAAAATATGTTGTGCAATTGGGATGATAAAATTCGAGACATTGAATGGGCAGCTACGTAGGTGCAAGCCCTCCTCTTGCAACTGTCCATTGTTTCAGCAATCTCTTGGCCTTTTGAGTATTGTAATCCTCATGCCATTCTCACCATCATATCTTTCGCAGGAAAAAATCTTTAGAGAAGGCAAGCTGCGTAAGTTAAGTTTGTCGTCTCATATCTTGTAAATCACATCTAAAAAATTATTATCAAACTAAGTTTAACTCAAAAGTTTTAAAAAATTTTCTTCCGAGGTAAATAATCAATTATTTATTTTAATATTTTTATAACTACTTTGAAATTTTTATAACCAAATATATTTTTCAATTGAAATTCGTGTCAGGATTTTACATTTCCTCGGCCAAGTCAACACAAAAGAAAATTGGAAAATGTCAATTCCAGTCACAGCCATAGGGCACGATGACTTTTATTTTTTATACAAACTAACATTTCTTCAGTCTACACTGAAATCACTAATATTGAGACAAATTAATCTTATCTCTTGGGAATTACATCATTTTGAATAAGTAGGTTATATATCTTTCAACCCTTTTTATTGTTATATATGCGGAAATTGGTGTAATGTTGCACAATATACAATCATGCAAACTGAAAAGATTACAGGAAACAAGTGAACTATTACAATACTTTTTCTAAAGACCCTAATTAATGCTAGCTGGCAGGAGATGTATTCTGCTTGCAGAACTGTCTCTTCCATCACAACGTCATTCTTTATCTCTTCTACTACTTTAATTATACCATAACAAAGTAACTTAATTCATCTCGATCATTAGTTAATTAATTACCAACGAACTTGCTACGATCCAGGATAGCATCCAAGCAAATGGTTAACATGATCTTCATTCTGGGGTAATATCATCGAATTTTGGAATGAAAACATTGGTGCATCAGTCAGCTGTGACATGAGCAGACTGTCCAAACTTTTCCAGTCATCAATGTACTGTAGTTGGCTGCTATCTTCATTACAGACTTCTTCCTGATCAGCCGCGATTAGGTTATGCTGGAAACCTTCTCTTGATGGCAAGCTTGGGGAATTGAGGCTCGGGCTGTCCAGTTGCGGAAGATCAATGAGTTGGTTGTCCAAGTAATTGTGGTTGGAAACAAGGTCACGGTCCGAACCATAAGAGGACTGATAAAAACTTGCCCCTTGATTCGGATAAACAATATGAGATGAGCTTCCTATGTCTGAAATTGGAGGCCGAACAGGGTAAACATGGTTCCATGATTCAAAACCTTGCCTTTGGTTAGGGCTTGGCTTTATGAATGCTCGGCAGACAACCCATCCTTCTTCCTGCATTTCAAAAAAAAAAATAATAATAATAATAATTCATGATAAGATATATAACGTATGTAGCTTTTTTCTTTTTCTTTTTTTTTAGATTTTTATTATATTTGGATTACAAATAAGATGAAATTGTTTGTTTGTTTGGCGATGAGAAAATGGGAATTGAAGAAACAAAATTCAATACATATTCTTTTTATGAATGCATAGGTTAACTGTGCAATGACTTTAACCAATATCATCAGTATCCTTCCAGAAGATTGAGTTAGTCAAGCCGAGCGTGCTTATATTTGTGCTACTAATGATTGAAAATATTTTTGACTTTTTATTGCCTTTTGGTTTAAAGAGTGGCATCTTGGTATTTAGGATTGTAAAGAACATTATTTAGCCGCCGCATGCTTTTCAAGAGTAAGATAATTAAGTGAACTGTTAGGTAAGATTGTGAGAATTAGTTTAAAATTTTTTTATTTATATTTTTTTAAAGACGATTTAATTAATGTGGTTAATGTTTGTTAGTTTTACTTTCAAAAAATTAATTAAGAAAAAAAATCTTAATTCAAGTTTTAAAAATAAAATATTTTAATATTTTTTAATAGATATTTATTAAAATGACATAATTTTAAAATAATATTCATCATAATTTTTAAAAGATAAGGTGAATAAGTACTATTCTTTAATCAATAGTTTAACTATAAAACTTTCAAATTAAACATTTCAGATTTAAAACTTGCCTGAGGGGGTCCATGTTCGGAAGTTTGGAGCCGATACTCATGCATGATCCAATCAGTTTTCCTGCCATTAGGTGCACGACCCTTGTAAAAAACCAGGGTCTTCCTCATCCCTATGATCCTGTTTTTTGAAAGTACAGCCTTATCCCTCCCCGTTGCCTTCCAGAATCCGGTAGCCGTAGCCCTGTTTGTCCGTGACCCGGTTGGGTACTTCCTGTCTTTGTGACTAAAGAAGTACCACTCATTCTGTTCATCATACCCTAGTTTGCATCTTGCTGCAAAATTAAAGGAAAAAAAGTCAATAATTTCGGAAAATCAACATAATCATTTTTTCCACTCAATGGTCACATTTTTTCAAACCCTAAATCTAGTGGGGTTGGAAACTTGAAAATTATATATACCTTGGATGTCCCATGGCTCCATTTTGTATAGATCAATGTCAATGATAACATCTAGATCTATTTTCAAAGAGTCAATCTTCCTCTTGAGATAGTAGCCTACAAGTTCTTCCTCTGTGGGATGAAATCTAAAACCCGGTGGAACGCACGATTCCATCTCCATGAATGATCTGTTCCTCCTGAGAAACATTTAACACCAAAATGAGAGAATATTAGAGAGAAAAGAGAGAGTTCAACAAAGCAACCATGTCGCTTGTGTTATAGGCTACATCCATAGTGAATTTTATACCAAAAGGCAGCCTTTAAGGAAATGGCTCTTCAAAAGAAAATGAAGAGAAAATAGTGATTTTTCATTTATGAACTTCCATCTAGGATGGCCATTGATCAAAATAAGCAATGGTGATGATGATTAGGTGGTCCTAAATTTTTTCTTTTTGAGGGGCAAAGAAACATGGGATTTTATTCTAATGCTAGGCTAGAAGTGATTTTGCCTTAGTTGCATGAGCCAGCTTAGGAAAAAGTCTACATTTAATTACACAGAAGTTTTTGGCCGAAAAGCTTGACTTTGTTGGCACGAGCAGGGTGTGGATGTTTTCTTGGAGTGTAGTGCACTCACTCTCTTCCCCTGCAGTGGAAAACATTGTACACCCACCCCACAAAACATCATATGCCTAAAACATATCACGTTCAAAAAAACCCATATTCCCTTTCTTCTCTGATTTGACACCATATACCAAATAAACCCTTCAAAATCCCTCCGTAGCCCTTCCAAAGATCTAGCAATCAGTTGAATGACAGGAACGGGGTGAGACATTATTCTAGTAGCTAGTACTATTGGATTTGGGAACACACAATAACCTAATTCCATCTAACAAAATGCACTTAAAACAAAACCGTTACATGTTTGTTAATCTCAAAAAACCTCAGTTTTTGAGTTAAAATTTGAGATTAATTCAAATCTTTATATGAGATAGCTAAGCACAAATTTCTTCTCTAAAAGAGAAAAACCAATCGAAAAGTTGATACAATCTACATGGAAACTTACAAGAAAAGGCGAACTCGCTGTCTATGTTCTTGAACTGCCCCTAGCTAGAGACAAGGAGAGAAATTTTAAGAGAGAGGGAGAGATGTTTGTGTTGACCTGTTGCAAAGAGAGAAGGGAGGAAGCTTATAATATATATGCAGCAGAAGATGTATCTAGAGGGCCTTAGCTAGCTGATCTGGTGAACATTGTTGTAAAGATAAGAGGGCCAATGCATTTAAATATATATTACTACATGTTCTGTGAAGGTGAAGGAGAAGTAGTGAGAAAAGGACATTGATTGCGCGTGGGGTATAGCAGGTTTGTTTGGACGGCGTGACACCAAGTTTTCACGCCACCCCCCACCCCCTTCCCTCCCCACCGCTATTTTCTGCCCTAAGAATTTCATCCCCAATACAATTAATTTACATTATATAACTAAAAGAGTTTGTTGAAAATATATCTTAAAGTATAAATTAAAAATGTAATAAATATATTTATTTATAATTAATTTATATAAAAATATAAAAATTAATAGTTATTTTAATACTATTGTTAATTTGTTATTTAAATAGTTTTAATTAGTTGACCAATTAATTAAATTAAAATTAAAATTTATATTTTTTATATAAATTAATTAAAAAAATACAATAAATACATCATAAACATGTGACTTTAAAAATCCTCTTAGTAAAATATAAATAATCCAAAAGTGTCTGCTTTAAGGATTTGCTCACAACTTGTTATTTCGATTCACAAAGAAATAATTAGGGAGAGTAAAAAACAATGATGCATTAACCATTAAAGAATAATAATAATATAACTTAAATATTATAAGTAAATTAACATGTAAAATTTTTTTTATAAAGATATTTAAAAAATTTTATAAATAATTTTAATATTTTAAGTATAAAAATATTCAAATTTTCATTTTTCTTAAAAAATAATTACTTACAAATTAATCTTTCGTGTTTTAAAGTTAATTTTTTTATTTGTAATTAATAAAAAAATAAATTCTAATCTAGAATTAATTTGTATAAAATTCAACACATAACATATAAATAAGTGATGAATTTAATCGGTTACACTATAAACTAATTGAAATACCTAAGCAATAGAGTTACTAAGAAGTGGATGCAGGTTTTGGACTATAAATAAATAAGAATTTATTTAACTTATACTCTAAAAGCATAAGTTAATGATGTAATTATTATATATATTTTATATTAATTAGTATAAAAACTAATAAAAATTAACATTAATTTTATCTTTAATATTACATGTGTTGTTTTAATTGGATAATTAATTAATTAAATATTAAATTTTATTTTTTAATAACAATTAATATTAAAAAATATTCTTAACTTATATTCTTAAAAATAAAAATTAAAAAAACCCCAATAAATAAATAAATATCTATTTGATCCAAAATTTGATGTACACATGAATCCATTCATTTCTCTTCCCAACAATCCAGCTCCTCTTTGTCTGTTTGGTGCGCCGCCCTTCGACATTTGGAACCCATGTCTCTATGCCATGTGTCTTCCATGTCAGAATTGGAGAACTGTCCGTATCAAATAACTAATGATTTGTGTTTGGTCCCACCCGATGAGTCCCACTAAAGCCACTGCCCCTTTCGCAATGTCTTCTTGGCTTGCCTTCCATCATCATACCGTCCCCAAGTATATTATATTAGTAATAATAATAAACAATTAATTAACTTTTGGTTCAGAAAAGTTAACAATTTTCTTTTTTATTTTTTAATATCAGGAAAGGAAAGTTACATTTTTTAGCATCCCCTAGCTCTGGGTTTGCTTGTTTTGATGGAAACAAAATGGAGGGGGATGAAAATTTAAATCAATCAAAAATTAAAAATAAATTAGATGTTGAATTGAGTGTTTGAACTCAATGATTTATCTTTAAATTTTAATGTTTAAATTTAATTAATTGAGAGTTTGACTTTTACTAACGACTTAAAAAAAATTTCACATTCTTCACAATTTTCCATGTTAAAAAAATAATAAATTAGATGTTATTATTTGACTAATTAAAAATTAATTTTTTTATTATTTATTTTTTAAAAATCAAATATAAGATATGTTTGAGAATTTGTAGTGACTTAAGTGACCACTTAATATGTTGTAAACAACTATCTCATCTTGTAATCTTAAAGTTTAAATCTTATATTTTTTACTTGTAATCTCCTTCCTTTAATTTCTCATGTTTAATATATATATATATATATGATATGTTTTATTTGTTTGATTTAAAACTAATGGATAAATGGAAAAAGGAAGAAAGGTGATTTTTTTATTTAGTTAAAAAAATAGAGTATAGTGGAGGAAAAAAGCTTCTCTTATTTTATTTTTTTTAATAATTTTAATTCCTTCATTCTTTTTAATTTATCTAAATGAGAGAATGGAGACTGGAGGAAGAAGTGGGAGGGGGATAATTTTCAAGTTTCAAACTATAATTTTAGAGTTAATTACTCCTTAGTGGGGAGATGATATATAAGCCACTTGCTCTACCCTGTGGTTAAATGAATAACATAAATGAAGCAAAAGCAACACATCTTTTTGGGTGGCCGTAACTAGCTTAGAATTAGTTCAATGCAAGCTTTGTTATAAATAAATCATATAACTCAACCAATCCAATGATAATAACCCTTCAGATAAAGTAAGATCTTAGATTTATATTGCATAATATGCAGTTAAGTCAAGAAATGACAAATGGTTACTATTATCAAGCAGCTTGAAATTAAGAAAAGAAAAATGTTATTACCTCACTAAAAAAAAAACTGATATGTTACCTTAATTTTAGTTTTTAATTTAATTCTTCTAAATATAAGGTGCTGATAAGAGGCTAAAATTAAGGGTTTTTTTTTTTTTCTAAAATAATTGATATATCCTTTAATTCAATACATTTAATAACATTTATCGATTTATGGCATATTTGGTACAACGGTTAAAATTTAACGGATAACGGATATTGGTAGTGGGTAGCGGTTAGCGGATAGCAGATGGCGGATAGCGGAAAGTAGGTAACGGATGATAAATAGCGAATTCGATAAATATAACTGTTTGATTATACAATGGTTAGCGGTTGTTATTTAACATTAAATGACTAATAATGGCATATTTAAAAACAAATAAGTATATTTTTTAAAATATTTTTATTTTTTTATTATTAAAATTATTAATTTTATAAAAATAATAAAAATAAAATAAAAAAATAAATTAAATGTTGAACCAAGTGTTTGAACTCAATAATTTATCTTTAAATCTCAATATTTAAATTTAATTAATTGAGAGTTTGACTTTCA